GGGGGGGGCAGGGCCGCGGGAGGCAGGGCCGCAGGGTGGCTGGCGCGGCAGCCGTTAGTCCAGATGTGCGGCGGCCTCCAGGCTCAGGGCCTCCCGACTGCCTCCTGCAGGGTTCATTCGCTATCTCTCTCACTCACTGACTCTCTCATTCATTCGCTCATTTATTCATTCTTTCATTCAGATTCGTTTGCTCATTCATTCATCACTCATTCATTCATTCATTCATTCATTCCTGAGAGCTTGCCCTGTGCCAGTCCCTGTTCTAGTCCTGGGGCACACACCACTGGGCCAGGCAGCGCGCATGGCTATCGGAAGGCTAGCCCTCCCGCCTTCATTGTCTACCTCTGGGTTTTTTGCGTTTGTTTGTTGGAAACAGTCTCACCATGTTGCCCAGGCTGGAGTGAGTGGCCCGATCTCAGCTCACGGCAACCTCTGCCTCCCGGGTTCAAGTGATTCTCATGCCTCAGCCCCTTGAGTTGCTGGGATTACAGGCGCACACCACCATGCCCAGCTGATTTTTGCACTTTTAGTAGAGATGGATTTTTGCCACGTTGGCCAGACTGGTCTCAAACTCCTGGCCTCAAGTGATCCACCTGCATCAGCCTACCAGAGCGCTGGGATTACAAGTGTGAGCCATCTCCTGGCCATGTTCTATGTTTTATTGTTTGGTAAAACAGATGTCTCCTCATGTGCATAGAACATTAATGTGTAATGGGCACCTACCATGTGCCAGGTGCTGCCCCCAGGCACTCCGTGCATATGATGAATGAGACAAACTCTCAGTCTCCACACCACTCCTCCTGCATTCTTTGTCTGTCTGTGGTTTTGTGATGATGCCACACTGTTTTAATTATTAGAGCTCCATTATGTGTATTGCTACCTGGTAGAACAAGCCTTCTTCCACCATTACTGAAGTAAAAATACTTATTGAGCACATACTATATGCCAGTGGTTATACCATGGGGAACAAGACAGCTGAAGTCCCTTCCCTCAAACTGCAAAGAGGATATAAACTACTAAACATATAAAAACTTGAAGTGGCAGTAAGTCCTAAAATAGGACAGGAGGAGAGAGACAACAGCTAAAGGCCTTTGGTTCCCCCATGAAGCAACCCACCCATCACCCTCTACCATATCTCACAATCCCAGTCCCTATCCTTACCCCTCTCCTTGCAGATCTGTGATATTTTCTCATTCAGCAGTTCCTCCTGAGCACCTACTGTGTGCCAGATGCCTTTAAAGGATTAACCTAGAACAATAACCAAGATAGATAAGATCTCTGTCCTCATGTGGCCCACAAAATTCTTCATCTATTTGTAGCTCTGTCGATGCCACACTCTTTTAAGACTTATAGCTTTACACTGTGTTCTTTTAAATGATTTTCACCAGCCTACTTAATGCTTTGAACAGTATGTGTTGTTAATTCATGTGTAAGTCTCCCCTTTTCCATAATGACAATTATCATGTGTCTACTATGTGCAAGAAACAGATAAAAAACTAGATCTGTCACTGAACAGAACTCATAAAGTCCCTGCCCAAATGGAGCTCACATTCTCCTGGGAAAGACAGGCCATTAGGAAGTAAACACTGATTTCATTAAAATGCCAGGTAGTGGTAGGAGCTGTGAAGAAAAATAAATCAGGAGACAGGGAGAAAGAGTGCCAGTGGCTGAGCTTTTCAGAGGTTCTACATGCCCAGTAGCCTGGCACTTCCCCTTTCATCTTCTCCCTGGGGTACAGCTGAGGCTGAACTCTTCCCAGATCCTTGGTTCTGCCACCAACCAGCAGCCAATCCCTCCTCCCTTAACCATTCTCTTCTGGGGGCCAGTTTGCTCTCCCCTCCCCTCCCCTCTTCTTTCTCTTTTTCTCTCTTTCTTTTTTTCTCTCTCTCTTTCTCTTTATTTCCTTCTTTTTCTTTTTTCTTTTTTTTTTTTGGAGTTGGACTTTTGCTTTTGTCACCCAGGCTGGAGTGCTGTGGTGCGATCTCGGCTCACCGCAGCCTCCGCCTCCCAGGTTCAAGCGAGTCTCCTGCCTCAGCCTCCCGAGTAGCTGGGATTACAGGTGTGTGCCACCACGCCCAGCTAAGCCAAACTGTTTTTTTCTTAGACACAGGGTCTTGCTATGCTGCTCTGACTGGACTCAAAGTCCTGGGCTCAAGTGATCCCCCTGCCTCACCCTCCCAAGTAGCTGGGACACAGCCGCCACACCCTGTATTTTATTTTGAAAAACTTCACACCTACAGCAGGGCTGCACAATTTGATGAACTGTGGTATCACCTTCATCCACACTCCAATTGTTCACATTTTATCCTGTTTGCTTTTATTCTCTCTCTTTAATATTTAATAATGTTAATTATTGGGGGCTGGGCGCGGTGGTTCACGCCTGTCATCCCACACTTTGGGAGGCCGAGACCAGCCTGGCCAACATGGCAAAACCCTGTCTCTACTAAAAATGCAAGATTTAGCCAGGCGTGGTGGCGCATGCCTGTAATCCAAGATTGTGCCACTGCACTGCAGCCTGGGAGACAGAGAAAGCTTTCTCAAAAAAAAAAAAAAAACACAAATTAGCTGGGCATGGTGGCGTGTGCCTGTAGTCCCAGCTACTCAGAGGGGCGGGGGGCGCTAAGGTCGGGGAATCGCTTGAGCTGAGGAGGCAGAGGTTGCAGTGAGCCAAGACTGTGCCACTGCACTCCAACCTGGGTGACAAAGCCAGACTCTGTCTCAAAATAATAATAAAATAATAACAACAATAATAATTGTAGTACTCTGTGACAGTGAGTTGCAAATACCATGACCTTCATGCCTAAATACTTGAGCATGCTTTTTTTTTTTTTTTTTGAGACAAAATTCTGCTCTTGTTGCCCAGGCTGGAGTGCAGTGGCACCATCTGAGCTGACTACAGCCTCTGCCTCCTGGGTTCAAGTGATTCTCCTGCCTCAGCCTCCTAAGTAGCTGGCATTGTAGGTGCGTGCCACCACGCCCAGCTAATTTTTTGTGTTTTTAGTAGAGATGGGGTTTCATCATGTTAGCCAGGCTGGTCTTGAACTCCTGACCTCAGGTGACCCACCCACCTCAGCCTCCCAAAGTGCAGGGATTACAGGCGTGAGCCACCTTGCCCGGCCTGAGCATACATCTTTTAGGAATGATGGCCTTCTCCTACCTAATCACAATGATATGGTCTCACTCAAGAAATCTAATGCTGAATTGACACTGTTAACTCAATATCCACTGAGTGACACACACCCTGTGTTTGCATTTCGGCAGTCATTCCTGTAATGTCCTTGGCGGCTGTGTTTTCACTCCCTCCCTGTCTTCCCACTTGATCCAGAACCACACATGGCATTTCCTTGTCTGGATCCGTTTCTCAGCCTTCCCGTGACTTTCGTGACCTGATGCTTTAGAGGATGATAGGCTGGTTACTAGAATGATTCTCAGTCTGGGTTTGTCTCATGCGTCGTGATGATTAGAGTCCTGCACTTTTGGCAGGAATCCCATGGAAGTGATGCTCCATCCCCCTGGGTGCATTGCATCAGGAGGAACGTGACATCCACTCGTCCATTACTGTGATGCCCAGTTTAACTGTTTGGTAAAGATGGTGCTAAATCTTTGGATTAATTGTTTGGCAAAGATGACGCCACAGGACGGACGCAGTGGATCACCCCTGCAGTCCCAACACTTTGGAAGCCCAAGGCCGGTGGATTGCTTGAGTCCAGGAGTTCAAGACCAGCCTGGGCAACATGGCAAAACCCCATCTCTACAAAAAGTATAAAAATTAGCCAGGTGTGGTGGCACGTGCCTGTAGTCCCAGCTGCTCAAGAGGCTGAGGCGGGAGGATGGCTTGAGCCTGGGAGGTGGAGGCTGCAGGGAGCTGGGATTGTGCAGCTGCACTGTGGCCTGGACAACAGAACAAGACCCTGTCTCAAAAAAAAAAAAAAAAAAAGATGGTGCCACAATCTCCACATTCTACTGATCCCTTTATCCCGTATGTGTAAATGTCTCCTATCCCACAACTCTCGGACCCTAAGATTCTAATATTAATGTGTGAATATCACTAGCTAACTGTCATTGTTTTCGCTGTGCCTCTGGGTGCTTCCCCTGTATCAATTCAGTCCTCACCCCAGCACCAGGAGGTAAACACTATTCTTAGCCCATTCCCCAGAAAAGGAAACCAAGGCTCGGAGGACAGCAGAACCTGACCGCCTGAGATCACACAGCTGCCATGGTAGCGGAGCTGGGCTTGGAGCAGGTCAGCCCAGCCTGCTAGGTGCCCCACCCCCATGGACAGCGAATCCTAAGCTGGGGGACTCCCCTGTCTCTCCACTGCAGGTCTTTGCCAGAACCTCTGGTTCTATACCCCCTACCTCTTTGCCAGAACCTTGGGGTCCCTGCCTTCCTCCCACAGAGCTGGAGAACTGCAGCCCAACCCCCCCACACACACTCCTTTTCTTTTGAGGTGGAGTCTCACTCTGTCGCCCAGGCTGGAGTGCAGTGGTGCAGTCTCGGTTCACTGCAACTTCCGCCTCCCCAGTTCAAATGATTCTCCTGCCTCAGCCTCCAGAGTAGCTGGGACTACAGGCGTGCACCACCACACCCTGCTAATTTTTCCATTCTTAGTAGGAACGGGATTTCACCATATTGGCCAGGCTGGTCTCGAACTCCTGACCTCAAGTCATCAGCTGCCTCAGCCTCCCAAAGTGTTGGGATTACAGGCTTGCGCCACCACGCCCGGCCCCAGAACCCCTTTAATGTGAAAGTGATAGTGAACGCGTATGGATCACGTGGCAGGGTTCAGAGATGGTGGAAGGGCTTAGGAGAAAGGAGAGATTTTCAAGATTCCTAAACATCCCAGAGCCATGCTGCTGTCTGCAGCCCTTCCAGGAAGAGCCCACTTACTCCGTGACCCTCAGAATTTCACCCTGACTCATCTAATGTCACTGCCTTGTTCCCTCCCTGGCTCCCCCCATTACAGAGTATCTTGTGGGTGCTTCAGAGATTTACACCACTGTTGCTGTTTTAACACTAAGCCAGCTCACGTCCCTCCTCCACTCTCGGAATGTCCCTCCTCTGCTCGGAAGCCTCCCGGGGCTCCCGCCTCACTCAGGGTGAATGCAGAAGTCTTCACCGTGGCCCACCCAGGCCCTAGGAGATCTGCCCCTGTTTGTTCTGTGCCACCATCTCCCACCCTCTCTCCCTGGCTCCCTCCACCGCCGTCATGCTGGTCTCCCTGCAGTTTCTTGAGCAGGTGACCTGTCCCTGCTCCAGGTCAGATCCTGTCCAGCTGTCCAGCTCCAGGTCAGAGCATTCACATTGCCTGTTCCCTTTACCAAAAATACTCTTTTGGCCAGGCGAGGTGGCTCACGCCTGTAATCCCAGCACTTTGGGAGGCCAAGACAGGCGGATCACTTGAGGTCAGGAGTTCGAGGCCAGCCTGGCCAACATGGTGAAACCCTATCTCTACAAAAAGTACACAAAATTAGCAGGGCATGGTGGTGGGCGTCTGTAGTCCCAGCTACTCGGGAGGCTGAGGTGGGAGAATCCCTTGAACCTGGGAGGGGAGGTTGCAGTGAGCAGAAATCACGCCACTGCACTCCAGCCTGGCGACAGAATGAGACTCCCTCTCAAGAAACCAAAACAAAACAAAACAAAAAAACGTTTCTAGGCATTCTCCCTGTGGCTCACTCCCTCTCCTCCTTCAGGTCTCTGCTCAAATGTTATGTCCTCCAAAAGGCTTTCTTGACCACAGCAACTCCCTCTCCTCACTCCTTACCCTTCTGACTGTCTCAATAGCGCTATCACCACCTGACATTCTGTTTGTTTACTGTTCAATCTTCTGCACTAAAACAGAAGCCCAGAGCTGCTTCTTGCTGCCGTTCCCCCAACACTTAGAACAATGCCTGGCACACAACGTTCAGTATCTGTTGAATGAATGAACCATAATTAAATCATTAAATGTGCAATTGTCATGGTGATATGGCTCTGCCATGGGGCTGTGAACCCTGTGAGGACAGGGCCTAGTTATTGCTGTGTCCCCAGCACCACTCCGCACAAGGCACAGAACAGGTGCCCTTAGGAGTGTTTGTTGAATGAATGAATGAATGATGCCAAGTTAAGGCGTATGAACATTCTCTTGGGAGCATCTGGGAAGGGTTTTTATCAGAGGAATGACAGATTCCTTTCTGAGTCCTATATCCCTGCCACTCAAAATGTGACCAGGACATTCCCTGGAGCTCATTAGATGTGCAATAATAGCTGGACGCGGTGGCTCACGCCTGTAATCCCAGCACTATGGGAGGCCAAGGTGGGCGGATCACCTGAGGTCAGGAGTTTGAGACCAACCTGACCAACATGGAGAAACCCCATCTCTACTAAAAATACAAAATTAGCAGGGCGTGGTGGCTCATGCCTATAATCCTAGCTACTAGGGAGGCTGAGGCAGGAGAATCAATTGAACCGGGGAGGCGGAGGTTGTGGTGAGCCGAGATCATGCCACTGCACTCCAGCCTGGGCAACAAGAGCAAAACTCTGAGTCAAAAAAAAAAATATATTATTTGATTCTAGGCCGAGCTCAGTGGTTCACGCCTGTTATCCTAGCACTTTGGGAGGCTGAGGGGGGGCAGATCACAAGGTGAGGAGTTCAGAACCAGCCTGGCCAATATGGTGAAACCTCACCTTTACTAAAAATACAAAAACATTAGCTAGGTGTGGTGGTGCATGCCTGTAATCCCAGCTACTTGGGAGGCTGAGGCAGGAGAATTGCTTGAACCCGGGAGGTGGAGATAGCAGTGAGCTGAGATCACGCCACTGCACTCCAGCCTGGGTGACAGAGTGAGACTCTGTCTCAAAAAAAGAAAAAGAAATGCGATTCCAGGAAACCCAGAAGCTTCTGAACCAGAATCTGCATTTTCACAAGAGCCACCAGGGGATTCCTATGCACATTAAGGTTTGAGAAGCAGGAATGTAGAGCAACCCAGGCTCCCGCTCAACTCTTGGACTTTGCACGTGCTATTCCCTCTGCCTGGAGTATGCTCACCCACTAATGCCTCCTCCAGGAAGCCTGCCCTCATCTCAGCTTTATCCATATCTGTTTAATGCCCGCCTTCTCTCCTCACAAGTTCCACGGCGGGGAGGGGTCCACTCTGCCTTGTACCCGTTCTGCAGCCCTTCCTCCAGGACACCCACCCTGATTCACGTCAGTGCTTGTTTAGTGCCTGTCGACCCTCATACTTGGGAGTTCTCCTGTGGCGCCTGCCCCTCCTCTGGGAAGCGCGTCCAGACTCCCCACACCCCCTACAACACACAGCCGGTGACCGACCCTCACCCCGCTCTTCCCCCTCCCCACCCTGCCGCAGCGAGGGCACGCTGGTGTTCAAGCCCGGCGAGACGCAGAAGGAGCTGCGCATCGGCATCATCGACGACGACATCTTCGAGGAGGACGAGCATTTCTTCGTGCGGCTGCTGAACCTGCGCGTGGGTGACGCGCAGGGCATGTTCGAGCCCGACGGCGGCGGGCGGCCCAAAGGGCGGCTGGTGGCGCCCCTGCTGGCCACCGTCACCATCCTGGACGACGACCACGCGGGCATCTTCTCCTTCCAGGACCGCCTGCTGCACGTGAGCGAGTGCATGGGCACCGTGGACGTGCGCGTCGTGCGCAGCTCGGGCGCGCGCGGCACCGTGCGCCTCCCCTACCGCACGGTGGACGGCACGGCGCGCGGCGGCGGGGTGCACTACGAGGACGCGTGCGGAGAGCTGGAGTTTGGCGACGACGAGACCATGTGAGCGAGCCCGCGGCGGCCCGGAGGGGGCGGGGCTTCGAAATGGGCGGGGCCTCGGGAGGGCGGGACTTGTGTGGGCGTCATCGGCAAAGTGGGCGGGGCATATGACCCCTGCCACGACGTGGGCGGGGCTTAACTAAGCAGTGCTCCAAAGGGGCTGGGCCTAGTGGGCCCTCAGGAGGGGAGGGGCCTGGGTTAATTGTGCTTAAAAGTGGCTGAACCTCGAGAGGGGCCGGGCCTGGGTGAGCTGTGTCCACAGTGTGGGTGGGGCCTGATGGGATTGTAACTGTGAAATAAAGAGGCGAGGCTCAGAGGGGCAGCCGGACCGGTGAAGAGGGTCCCAAGGAGGAAGGGTGGGCAAGGTAAGGAGAGATGGGATAGGGACCTGGGGAGAGGGGTGTGAGGCCTTAATTGGTAGCTGGTGGTGTGAGCCCTGAAGAAGAGGGCCCAGGGAAGATGTGGGGCTCAGAGGCTTGTCGAGGTGAGACGCTGTATGTGGCTGTAAGAAGGGGCGGGTCCAGGGCGATGGGTGGGGTCTGGGTTTGTTGACAGGACGCCAGGAAATGGGAAAATGGATGTGGGCTGCGGAAGAAGGCGGGGCTTAACGAGATGGGTGGGGCATGGGGAGGCAGAGCTAGGGAAGGGGTGGGGCTTCCGGATAAGAGGAAGAACCTGGGGAAGTAGCGGGGCACCAAGGGGAATGTGGGTGAGGCTTTGGGAAAAGATGGTGCGGGAATCTGGGGGCCTAGGAAGACCGGGCAGGGCCTGGGGAGACACTGGGAAGCCTGAGGGCTGGGATTTGGGAAAATGGGGTCAGGGGAGGTGGGCTCACTGGATACACGCAGACACACACATGTAGACAGACGTTTACAGATCAGACACAAAGCCGTTTATATGCACCACACACACACACACAGACACACACGGCCAGGACAGGCTTGGTGTTTCACGCCCGTAATCCCAGCGCTTTGGGAGGGCGAGGCAGGAGGATCATTTGAGGCCAGGAGTTCAAGAGCAGCCTGGGCAACATAGCAGGACTCCTACTCTAAAAGTAATTTTTTGAAATTAGTGGTGGCGCATGCCTGTAGTGCCAGCACTTTAGGAGACTGAGGCGGGAGGATGGTTCGAGCCTAGGAGTTGGAGAGCAGCCTCTACTAAAATTTTGTTAAAATTAGCTGGGCCTGGTGGTGCGCACTGAAGCCAAGGCAGGAGGATGGCTAGGTGTGAGAGCTGTGATCACGCCGCTGCACTCCAGCCTGGGAGACAGCGAGACCTTGTGTCTGTAAATAAAAAAATAATTTAAAAAAAAGACACAAGCGGACACACATAAAGTCACAGATGCGTACACTAAATTACAGAGTCAAGGCTGCTCTCACTCCCAGACCCCCGGCCATTCCTTACACAGATGCCTGAGTGTCCCCCAACGTGTGCCTGCAGCCTCACCTTCCCCCACCCGCCTGGCCGGGATGCAGGCCGCGCCTGCCCCTCCTCTGCCCGCCACCCTCCACCCCCGCACTCCCCGTCTGTCTCCCTTCTCCGTGCCGCCCACGCGCCTCCTACTCAAGCGGAGTCCCCACCGCGCTCCCCCTCCCTCCTCTTCCCAGCCTCTGCGCCTCCGCCTAGGGCAGCACTCAGCTTCTCACAGCGCTTGCTGTCTCTCCGTCTCTCCCTCTCCATCTCTGCATCTCTCGCTCCCTGGGCTGTCTCTCTCTGGGTCTCTGCATCTCTGTTCATCTGTGGCTCTCTGTCCCCAGCACCTCGCTCTCTGACTCAGCTTATATTTCAGACACACTCTCCACACCTTTCCATCTTTCCCTCTGTCTGGCTTGGTCGCGCTCTCAGGGTTGTTGAGAATTTGGGTTCGGGACTGTAAGAGGCACTGTCCCAGCCCCCTCTCTCACACCCAAGAGATAGGGGGAATGGAGAGAGTTTTCTTTCTGCTTCTTCCAGTCCTTCTTGTAGTTTAACTTGCTTCCTTCCTGCTGCTGCAACCCCATAAGCGCTCTCCTCACCCACACGGCTTCCCCAGGCTGGGACACCTTCCGTCCCCCCATTCCCCAGGCTGGGACACCTTCCGTCCCCCCATTCCCCACTCCAGCTCCCAGATGCGGCTTCAGAAGACAGCGAACAGGAGGCTAATTACTGTTTACGGAAACTCACCCTTCCTCTCACGGGCAGGCGCTGATTAGAGGCGCTTTGAAGCAGCTGGGCTGGAAGACCAACTCAGAGATGGAGGAGAGACACGCAGAGATGGGGGTGGCAGGGAGAGCACGAGAGACACAGAGGCAGAGACGCAGAGATAGACCCAGGGAGAGCTGAAGACAGAATGAGTGAGAACTGGAGAGAGAAACAGAGACAGAATAGAGAGACAGAGACACAGAAAGACAGGAGCTTAGAGGCCAGGTGCTCACACCTGTAATCCCAGCACTTTGGGAGGCTGAGGCGGGTGGATCACGAGGTCAAGAGATTGAGACCATCCTGGTCAACATGGTGAAACCCCGTCTCTACTAAAAATACAAAAAATCAGCTGGGCATGGTGGCACATGCCTGTAGTCCCAGCTACTCAGGAGGCTGAGGCAGGAGAATTGCCTGAACCCAGGAGGCGGAGGTTGCGGGGAGCCGAGATCGCGCCATTGCACTCCAGCCTGGGTAACAAGAGGGAAACCCCGTCTCAAAAAAAAAAAAAAAAAAACTAGCCGGGCGTGGTGGCAGCGCCTGTAATCCCAGCTACTCGGGAGGCTGGGACGGGAGAATAGCTTGAACCCAGGAGGTGGAGGTTGCAGTGAGCCGAGATCGCACCATTGCACTCCAGCCTGGGCAACAAGAGCAAAACCCTGTCTCAAAAAACAAAAAAAGACACAAAAAGAAGAGACACAGAGGCAGAGAGATGGATATTAAGAGACTGAGATGGAGAGAGATTGAAAGGTAGACGCAGAGGCAATAAAGACACGTATGGAAGAGAGAGAGAGTCGGACCCAGGGAAGGAGAGGGTCTCACGATGCTGCAGAGAGAAGGGAAAGTTTGGGTCAGTGAGAGACAGGATAAGGAGAAGACTGGGTCTGAGATCAGAGGCTGGCAGGGGAGAAGGGCAGGAGAGGGGAGTTTTCAGGAAACCAGGGGGCAGGCTGGGGAGGAAGTCTGCTTCCTGTGATCTCAGGAAGTCCTGCCTTGGTCTAGCTCGAGTCCCTCTTGCTGTTTCCTGCGTATTGGGATTCTCCTGCATCTGGGTCCCCTGAGGGCGTGGCTGCCAGGGTGCAGTTGATGTGCGTGTTCCTGCACGCCAGTCAGTGTGTGTCAGTGGATCGCAGCGTGCCTGCAAGAGTGAGCGACAGAGGCGTGTATGTGTGTGTGTGTGTCACTCTGTCAGCGTGTCACTGTGTCGGCAGCTGTCTATGTGTGCCGAGTGTGTGAGGAACCTGTCTCAGGAGACCCTCCCTCCCCGCTGTCCCCAGCATTTCAGCACCGCGGACAGCTCCCAGCCCATGCTGAGGTCGGGGGCGGACCTTTCTTTCCACCCACAGAAAATTGAAAATATCCTGAAATCAGGAGGGTGGAGGTAGGCGGGTGTCCCCACATGGCCGGCTTGTGTGCGCCTGTCCTTGCGCGGGTGTCGCTGTGTCTTGTGCATGTTTGTGTGTTGAGATGCGTCTTTTGAGTGACTGCCTGATTGAAACTCTTCTGCTAGAAGTGCCTTGACTTTGGTTACTCCATTCTTTTTTTTGAGACAGTCTCCCTCTGTGGCCGCGACTGGGGTGCAGTGGCGCAACCTCGGCTCACTGCAACCTCCGCCTCCCAGGTTCAAGTGATTCTCCTGCCTCAGCCTCCCGAGTACTGGGAGCACTCACCACCATGCCTGGCTAATTTTTTGTGTTTTTAGTAGAGACGGGGTTTCACCGGTTAGCCAGGATGGTCTCAATCTCCTGACCTTGTGATCTGCTCACCTTGGCCTCCTAAAGTGGTGGGATTACAGATGTGAGCCACCATGCCCGGCCTGGTTACTCCGTTCTTTAGATTCTGAGTGACAGAGACAGGGAGAGAAGAATCCAGATAAAGAAGGGCAGGCCAGGTGAGGTGTCTCACACCTGTAACCCCAGCACTGGGGAGCCCGAGGCAAGAGGATCACTTGAGCTCAGGAGTTCAAGACCAGCCTGGGCAACATAGTGAGATCCTGTCTCTATAAAAAATTGAAAAGTAGCCAGGTGTGGTGGCGAACACTTATATTTCCAGCTACTTAGGAGGCTGAGGTGGGAGGATTGCTTGAGACCTGGAGCTGAAGGCTGCAGTGAGCCATGATTATGCCACTGCACTCCAGCATGGGCAACAGAGTGAGACCTTGTCTCAAAAAAAGGGAGGGCAGAGAGATGAGAAGAGACTGAGACAGAGAACAGAGAGAGTCACAGTCAGAGAGAGAGACTGCTGGAGAATCGCAGAGACAGAAAGAGTCAGAGATGGAGAGACAGACCCAGAGAACCCGAGAGAGGCAGAGAAAAGAAGATAGAAAATGTGGGGACAGAGATGTAGGCACTGAAGGAAGTAAACAGAGACACCAAGAGGCGTCAGGAGTGAGATAGAAGGTAGGAGCGTCTCCGTGATACCGCAGTGGGAGCTGCAGGGTGGCGATGTCGCCGAGGCTGTGGTGGGGGAGTCGTGCTAACTGACGGGCATCTGGTCCGTGCAGTCTTGCCACTGCACTGGGAACGGCTGCAGGGTGTGATGGCGTGTGGGTGTGGGCGGTGTGATCGGCTGTGCTTCCTCGATTGGGTGACTGTGTGGGCCGGGTGTTTGTGTTTCTGGGTTCTGGGGCCAGGCCTTGTGGGACTACATAGTTCTTACAGCCAAAAGAGTTGCCAGTGGCAGAGCTGTGGGCATTCTGGGGTTGTGGGTCTTTGGGGTCGAGGCAGGTGGGTTGTGTGCCTGGAGGTGACAGGTAACTTCTGGCTGTTTGCTACCACCCGCTGGTTACCATAGATGCTGAGAAAATCAATTAGCATCAGCATTTGGTTAACTCTCCAAATCTGGTTGGGATGGAGATCAGGAAACTGAGGTTTTTCTGTGTTGAAGGACTGGAGTTAGCAAAATATGTATTCGGGGCTTTATCCATGCCAGGCGCTGTTCTGGTTGTTGGAGACAGAAAAAAAAAAAAGTAAATGGACTGGCCGGGCACGGTGGCTCCCGCCTGTAACCCCAGAACTCTGGGAGGACGAGGTGGGTGGATCATGAGGTGAAACGCCATCTCTACTAAAAATACAATATTAGGAGGCTGATCGCGGTGGCTCCCGCCTGTAATCCCAGCACTTTGGGAGGCTGAGGTAGGTGGATCACGACAACATCAAGAGATGAAGACCATCCTGGCTAACACGGTGAAACCCCATCTCTACTTAAAAATACAAAAAATTAGCTGGGTGTGGTGGCACACACCTGTAATCCCAGCTACTCAGGAGGCTGAGGCAGGAGAATTGCTTGAACCCAGGAGGCGGAGGTTGCAGTGAGCCAAGATCACACCACTGCACTCCAGCCTG